GGTTAGGCCGACGTCGGCAGGTACTCACGTAAAGCTAATCGGACGACGTTGGCATGAAAAAGCAACTTGCCGTGGCCCAAGGTTCCAAGGCGGCCCCGGTGGCCGAGTTCTTAAGCATTGCATATTGCCACTCGATAGGCGCGTGTTCAAATTTTGATAAGACCAACAACCAAAAATTTTTGAAAATGAGTTTAAATAAATTACGTTTACCAATGAAGTCGGACAACTTCGGCTCAAAACTCATACCTGTATTGCCCTTAGTCTTGGGCTTGGCTCTTCAGTTATTACTATTATCTAAAAAGAAAGAATAAAGAATGAATGTCGAAGATTCTATGATATATTTAAAGACGAATTACACACCTTCCAATGAGGATTGTGGAAAACTTTAATTTTAAAAGCCACGAGAGTTTATACGTCCAATCATAATTCATTGAGTAAATACGCCTGTACATATTCATCAACTAATTTGACATATTATTATGTTGTTTATAGTAGTTTTTCACAAAACTTATCCGCCAACGCGAATATTATATATTTACATACGAATATGTATGTACATAGTACGAGCGCGCATACTTTCCGCATAAATTTGCATACAAAGATATGGACAATATCGAAAAATACTACTCGACTAACGCAATACAAATACATAAGCAAACACACAAATTCGCAGTTCTACCGGAAGTCGATCTATGCGCTATCAAACAAACAAAAAAATAAAAATTTTGCTGAGCTCTGGCATCCGGAGTCAGGTAGCTGCTGCTGCAGCTGATATTGCTGTTGTTGTGGCAGCAATACATTCATCAAGAGATATGCAAAATTCGTAGTTATTCTCACTCAACAAAATGACAAACTGCTGCTACGCTATTCAGTTTTATTCTTTTTTTTTAGTTTTGCTGCTGCTGGTTTTGTTTCGACTGTATAAACTTAACCGTTATTCATTGCATATTTTTCGCTGGTATATATATATGTCATCGAAGCTCTATATACGCATTCGAATTCATTTGCTTATTTACTCACAATTTTTGTGTGTTGCTGGCAATCAAATATCCAACTGGTACAAAATGTACTAGAATGTAACTAGATTATTTTCAAGTAGTCTAAAAAATAACAAGCAATACTATCTGGGGAAAATTTTAATTGGTATGCTTGTTTTTTTCAAAGTTTTTTATAAAATTTTTAATGTTGGAAATTTTTTCCCGAAGACTTTACCTACTTATTATATTATTAGTCGTTAATGCAGCTCTCCGTATTAGAGAAAATTATCAACCAGACGTTTAATCGTCTCTTAGTATTTATTATCTTTTATATATAAGAAATGGTATTTTAGCTTTGGTCCGAGACATATAAGCATCAGAGGGAGCAGAGGCGGTCCCATCTAAGTGCATATTGCAATGTCCGTCTGTTCGTCTCAAGCCTTGAGGTATTTCATTCAAACGGAGGGCACATATGCACTGGAACATTTAAGGTATTTAAAGGATTTCGTAAACTGCCAGATCGGTCCGAATTTCGAGATTTTGGGTTAAAAATTTGTGAAAAAAGCATTTAAAAGTGTGAAATATGAAAATCTGCACGCAAATAATAAATTTTACATTATTGCTGAGAAGTATTGAAATCAGTTGACTATATCATATAGCTCCCATACACCCGATTCGTTTATAAGTTTTGGTTAAAAATCCTTTAGATAAAGGCATCTATTGTAAAAGCATGCAAATTTTTAAACTACTCACGTATGTATATATAAATAAGCAATCAACGAAATCGAAGGACTTTATCATATAGCTCCCATACAATCGATTTGTTCAGATGTGTGGATTTGGATAAAAAATCTCTCAAATTGGATAAAATCATGAAAGGCAAGTCTTCTTACTTGCTTCCTTTAATTCTTTCTGAAACAGTCAAAATGCCAATTTTGATTCGAAAATGAATTTTTTCGTCCATTTGAAGTTGTAGTATGGAATTCGTGTTGCCGTTTTTTATTAAAAAACCATTTTTTTAATCTTAAATATTTTTTTCTTCTTTGTCCATTTTGAATGTAGTAATTTTTTTGCCTACTACTTTGAACTAGTGTTGGACTAGTACATTTCGTTTATTTAGTTCATTCAACTGCTGGGTATTGCTAACGTACGGAATGTGCGTGCGTGCGTGTGCATGTATGTGCATTGCAGAATTCTCACTCGCTGCACTCAATCGAACACGAATACGAACAAACAAATGCATTTTCAGACAAACATTCGAACATTCCGTAGATACATACAGATGTAGATATATATGTCGTTTTATGAGTGTGTAAATCCTTTTGCGTTAGTGAAATAATTTTGCACATATTTTAGCATATTTTCATTCGTATCCGTGTGTACCAATTCGCTATATCTCTTTTCTCGCAGCGATTTCGGTATAGTGAAGGTCCCCCTACCTTCACGGTGGGTGTGTTGGAGGATCGATAGTGCCGTGCCACACACTGATGACGGAAGTTTTGATAAGCTCAGGTTATTGGTTTTTCGACTTGGCGGACTTTATTTTCATCATTTCCTCTTCGTTCTTTTGTTTTGTAGCAAGGCTTTGTGAAATACTCGATCCGCTGCTGCCGCTGTATCGATTGAGTGCGTATTTAGTGCGTAGCATACTAGTGTTGTTGTTTTTTTTTTTTTTGTATTTGTTTATTTTATTTTTTATTTGGCAGAGTTATTGAGATGAATATGACGAAAGTTATGGAAGTTTTAATGCAACCAAATTCGTAGAATTTGCGTTTCCCCATTTGCATGGTGTATTAAAAAGTTATTTTCAATAAAGATAACTCACAGATTACTTAGGAATCAGCAAGCTCAAGTCGATAAAGCTTTACATTTTTCTATGAGAATTATACTTTTGTGAAGTTGGTTTATTGCATTGTACCTTATCAGTATGGGCCAGTTAACCATTGACCAGATATTCACCACGCGACCGTGAAAAGAGAATCGACACCCACCACCTCTTCGTCGATTTTAAAGCCGCTTTCGACAGCACGAAAATTAGCCGCCTCTACGCTGCTTTGATATCCCCGCAAAATTTATACGGCTGTGTAAGCTGACGCTAGACAACACGAGAACCGCAGTCAGATTTGGGAAGGACCTCTCCGTTTGGTACCAAATGAGGTTTCAGACAGGGTGACTCTTTGTCGACTAATTTCTTCGATTATATGCTGGTAAGAATACTAAGAGCTGCAGAGCTGAATAGAGAAGTTACAATTTTCTATGAGAGTGTACAACTACTGGCGTGCGCCAATGATATTGACATTATCGGCTTCAACAGCCCCGTCGTTACTTCTACTTTCTCCAGGCTTGATAAGGAAGCGCAGCGAATGGGTCTGGTAGTGATCGAGGACAAGATAAAATATCTCATGTTATCAAACAAAGAGTCATCCCAATCGCGAATCGGCTCCTACGTCACTGTTGACAGTCATAATTTTGAAGTCGTAGATAATCTCGTTTATCTAGGAACCAGCATCAACACCAATAAAAACTTCAGGCCTGAAATCCAAAGCAGAGTCACACTTGCCACAAGGTGCCTTTTGGACTAAGTAGGCAATTGAAGAGTTAAGTACTCTCTCTGCGAAAGAAAACCAAGCCCTGCAAGTCGCTAATCACACCCGTCCTACTATATGGGCAGAAGCGTGGATGAGTCTGCAATGGGAGAATACATTTCGAGCTACGAGTGTTCATTCATCTCCTCAATGCTATTTATTTTAGCAATAACTGAAGAGCCAAGCTCTAAATCTCACTTAAGGGAAAGTGAGGGCAAGACAAGTATCCAATTATCTAACCTCAATGGCAAGTGTGGAGTTATATAGTGTGGTTGTGCCCAAAGAGAGGGAGGTTTATTGTAGCCACACCAACGTATCCGTTTTAAGAACTGACTGAAGTGTTTGCTCACCAGTTGTGCGGTTGCGAATGAGCCTCGGTCTTAAGACAGCCACTAGCTATATAAATATTCGCTGAGTTTGCAGCGCGCCACCTAGGAATCAGCTCCAATGAAAGATCCCCCTTTTTAAGGACGTCCATAACAAATATACTAAGAACTATTTAAATGCATCTGGAATACCTACCCACCAAGGTTCGGTGCCTGTTTCAAGCTCAATGGTGCTCTCAGAATCTTATTCATATCTTTCCGGTTAGCCAGGCCGTATTAATGATGGTTCTCTTTGAAGCCAATTCGGATACCTGGACACTGAAATATACCGGGTAACGAAATGATGAAAGAGCTTGCAAGGAATGGAACTTCTCTACTACTTTTACCATTAGGGAAGTGTTTGGGCATGCCACTCTCCACTATAGAAGAGTTATTCATGAAATATGGAGAGCCCCATAAACGTGTAACGTGATCAGGTAAATGCGAGAGAAGAATGCGACAGAAGAATCCTGCGGGATCTTATCAAGCTGAGAAGAAAGGGGATATCTACCGTAACAGATCTTCTTTCTACATTAAAAGGACGGACGTAGGCGTACTATTTAACGAAGCATGCAGGAGTTGCAGGCAAAAATAAACCTTGAATCACTTTGCGAATTCCCCGCGCTTTGGAAGAGAGGGTTGAAGTCTAAAGGGACAGCAATTATAGGTTGAAATCAACGAATCATCTCTCCGCTCCTACCTCTGTGGGGGTTGAGATATTTCAAGAAATTATTCCTCAGAAAATTTTACTATGGGTCTTGACAGACAAAAATTTTATACGAAAAGGCTTGCAGGGCTGAAAAGTTGAACAAAAATAAAATATTTATCTCTGTTTTTTTTTTTTGAGAAACAAGTTAGGTTAAGAAACAAAATTTTTTGCATTTTTCTGTGGGAAATTTTTGGTTCTACTTTCTGATATGTGATTGAAAAATTTTGAAAAATAATAATAATGCTTTTAAAAAAAGAAAAATATGTATTTTGTTTACAAAATTCCAAAACCAATTCAAAAATTTATGTGGCAAGTATGCCCGACTCGCATCATACATATTTTATCGTATTTTTCTCAATTTCAGAAATATCGTTTACAATCTGAGCATACACGATCTCACAGAGCAGCAGCGTTTGGTGTGGCAATCCACAGAGGATGACGTCAAGATGTGCATTATCAAAGGCAAGGCTGAGGTGAGTGCAAAAACAACATGCAATCAATTTTTAATTCACATTGTATATACAAATATATATATAAGGGATGATCTATTTAGGGGTTCTCAATTTTATTAAAGAAAAAACGCAGAAATTCAAATTTAATGGAAAACGTTTATTATTATTCGAAAGCACATTCTTTGGCATTTTTTTTTTGAAGATTATCTCTTTTCAATGTTGGCCGCGGCTGCGCCTCAGACGGTTCATACGTTGAGTCCAATTTTCGATGCCTCTTCGCAAATGACGTACGTGATGTTCTGCTCCAAGACCTGAATCGAAGCGGGATTGTCCGCTTAGACTTTAGACTGTACATATATCCACAGGATCAAGTCGAACAGTGTGATTTCGCACGATTTGGTGACCAATCGATCGGCCCAAAGCGTGAAATTAGCTGCTCAATATATTCATTATTTGATACGATGTGTGGGATGTGGCGCCGTCTTGCTGAAACTAAACGCCGCCGAGGGCACGAGTTTTAATTTCAGGCATTGAATACTTGGCTTATTAAGGCGCGATAACGGTCACCATTGATGGTTTTGTTCTCACAGTGTCGCCATAAGTTTTTTTTTACTTTAGCCCTTAAGTAGTCTCATGACAGCCTGGGTATAGTTGACGCGGACTGTACCTGGTCGCCGGTATGAGCGATTTTTTGTTAATGTTTTAGTAGTGCCACGTGGTCGCTTGATTACTGCTCATCGCTGCCGTTGCTATATCAACCAGGTTTAGCAGTAGCAGATGTTGTGACCTACAGACTTTCCCTTTCTTCCGACTCTGCAGCTTCGACAAGAATAATTCGTATTTTAGCCCATTCTCCTACCGTGCAGTCCTATTAGACAGTGTCCAATTAATATACACGTTGTTTTATTAACGTTAAACCGGCCTAGGATGATAATGTGCGTCCAACACAGGCCAAGGCTGTAGGTACTTTGCAGCTTCTTTCAAGACGTGCATTGAACTTTTTGTGATTGTCACCTTCTCTTTCTGGCTCCTACGCTATAGAGTTACCTGGGATGTCCCCATGTCAGGGCACCCGGTCCATGCCTGTATTGCATCCAGCTGAGGGCTTTTGATGTGGTGTTATTACATTGAGAAGATTTGATGGCTGCTTGGTTATCCAAGTATATGCTGGTTGACTGGCTTGTAACCAGATATCCCAGCGAGTATTCTGCGGCTTCCGCGCTGCATTATTCTGTTAGCTCCAGATAATATCTGTGAAGATGGGTATATAACTCTGATTTGCGGCATTTACATTTTCCCCATGCATTCCTGTCCGGTATTTTTTTGGAGCACAGATCTTCAAAACAGCAAGTGGAGATGGCGTAGTCTAACTCCATTGGAACTGCGCGGAAGACAATATCCAGGCGTGCCCTGCCGCGCGATATCTTCAAGGTTGAACCAAGTTCGGTTTAATAGCACTGCAGCTCGCGCCAGGGGAAGAAAATTAAGCCGAGTTTTCAGAGTCGATGTTAGAGCTCGCTAACTGCTGAATTTTATCCGGTTCGCTACTGGTAGTAACAATGTAATGGGTCTGACTACCACCGTATAAATCTAGGGAATAATAAGCGACCTCATATTTTGTCAATGGTCGCTGTGCTTGCATAGAGTGAAGGGATCGTGTTTCGGTCACTGCTGAGCTTGCTGTCTAAGATTTTCCTTAGATCTAAGATTTTTTTTTTGACTTTGGTGAAGAAAATTAATTTCCATGCCTTTTACAAACAAGTTGTTCTCTCACTCCTTTTCCTAAATCGGAATTTTTTTAAACCCGAATTTTAGGTGGTATATTTAAGCTATACATTTGAGAGAATATTCGGCATTTGCAGGGCAAAAATATTCCACGAAAAACCTCTTAGCTCACACGGAGCATTCGAAGTTTTATTCTTTTGCCATTAACTTTATTTTCCTTCCACTTCGGTATGAATTTTTCTCCCGTCTTGAGCGCCAAGTACACCGTAAAACTTTTATCAATTAAAAATAAACACGACAACCAAGTTGTATGTGGTAGTGTAATGAAAATAACCAGCAATGAGTTTATGCGCCTAAAAGTATGTGTATGTGCCAAATGCACAATATAGCACAGACGGAGTTTTGTATGCGCGTGCACGATTGCTGCATAATTATAGGCGCTCAAAGTGCACTTGAACATGCGAAGCGCGTTGCAGTAGCTCATAATTCAGTGACACAGCGACGAAGAAAAATTTAAGACACTAAAGGCTCAAAGCCGCGCTCGTTGGTCGGCGATTTTTTTAGGGCAAAGCAATGAATTTAAAAACACATATTTTTTACATACATATGTGTATAGATAAAGTATGTAAGTAGACATGTAGCATGACTTGAAAATTTATTGCATGCGCATTTTGCAAAAATGACAAAAAATTATAGGTTAAAAGGTCAAAGGTGCCAACAACCAATGCTTACTTGCTACATTCTTTTTAATGGCAGCAATTCATAATTTATTTAATGTGTCTCAATAAAATTCGTAGCATATATCGATTGTTTTGTGTGCGTATATTTATAAGCGCCGCTCCCACCACCAACACCACCACCACATTAGCACTTGAATCAGTTATGACACGTCACGCATTTTAGCACTAATTAAGTATTTATTTACATCAAATAAAATTTCCTACAAAGCAAAACACAGCCAGCCACACCTATTTGGGGCGAGAGAGCGCAAGATAAGCGCCTTGAGTAAAGTATTTCTAAAAACGCCTGAAAGCATGCTAAATGCTGGTGGCGGCAGTAAGTTTCATGCACACTACCAATACCACTACCTAAACCGCCACTCCTCTGCTGCACGGCAGTCACAATAATAAGAATTCGTGTACTATTTTATGACAATTTGTATGCCAACTTTGATGGCATTTTCTGTCTGTTCGTCTAACGTGCATAGTCTGCTTTATCAGCTCACTAACAGAACTTACCAAGAACATGCAAACTCTTACATACAGCCCTGTAATGGTTGTTGGAGTGCTGTCGTAATATTTCCGATTCATTTGTACTGTATACTCGTACACTATTGTGCTTAAGTTTATTTGCTTTTATCTCTACAAGTGGTTTATGTGTTCGTGTGTGTGTGTGTGTGTGTGTGTGTGTGTGTGTGTGTGTGTGTGTGTGTGTGTGTGTGTGTGTGTGTGTGTGTGTGTGTGTGTGTGTGTGTGTGTGTGTGTGTGTGTGTGTGTGTGTGTGTGTGTGTGTGTGTGTGTGTGTGTGTGTGTGTGTGTGTGTGTGTGTGTGTGTGTGTGTGTGTGTGTGTGTGTGTGTGTGTGTGTGTGTGTGTGTGTGTGTGTGTGTGTGTGTGTGTGTGTGTGTGTGTGTGTGTGTGTGTGTGTGTGTGTGTGTGTGTGTGTGTGTGTGTGTGTGTGTGTGTGTGTGTGTGTGTGTGTGTGTGTGTGTGTGTGTGTGTGTGTGTGTGTGTATGTGTGTGTGTGTTTGCAAGTCATTGCTGGAATGCAATTAGAGTTGGCGAAATATTTTGCATAGTCACGCAATTAGAAATCGTTGCTGCTGCTTTCAACGTCGTTCACGTTGTTACTGGGACGCAGCGAAGAAAGCATGGGCGTATGGGCAATATACAGTGGTTATACGTTACAAAAATATAATTGTTGGTTATTTTATTTTATCAAATTAACTTTAATTTATTTCATTAGATATTTAAATTATTTCATTTTATTTTATTTTGGTTTATTTTCTTTTATTTTATATCATTTCAATTTGTTTTACAATTTGACATTATTTTATTCACAACATTGTTATTTAATTTATTTTATTTAAAACTTTTTTAATTCAATTTATTTTATTCTGTTTTATATTTTTATTATTTTAATTCATTTTAATTTAAGTTATTTTGTTTTATTATACACTATTTTCTTCATTTTATTTTATCTTATTTTCTCAATATCATTTGCTTTCCTTTTTTTTTTTTGATTTATTTATTTGATATTTTAATAAGATTTAAATTTTATATTTTATATATTAATTCATTTTTTTATTTTACTTAAATTTTTTATATTTTTTAAATGTCTTTCTATTCATTTTGTTTCATTTTATTTTCTTTACTTTTGATATGTCTTTTGCTCTATTAAATTGGCTTCGATTTTATTTAATTTGTATTAATTAAATATATTTTTCTTATTGTAATTATCATTTTGATATCTATTTATTTTATATGTATTTTTATGTATTAATGTAGTATTATACATCCAGTTTATTTTATTTTAATTGGTTGATTTTCTTTTCTTTTTTTCGTTATTTATTATATTATTTTGGTTTATTTATATTATTATTTACTTCTAACATATTTTATTTTAATTGTTTTGCTTGTGAATTTTTTTTATTTTAATTTTTTCCATTACTTAATTTGTCGTTTTTATTTTATTTATATTATTACATAATTAATTTTTATCTTATATCAAGTGATTTTATTATTGTTGTCTTCATTTTTATTTAGTTTCTAAGAATGTTTTACTTTATTCTAGCATATTTAATTTTATTTTATTTAATATTATTTTAATTTAATTTTAGTTATTTTATTGTCTTTCATTTAGTTTTGCTATTTATTATATTTATTTTATTTTATGCATTAGATTTTGTTTAGTTATTTAATTTTATTGCATTTATTAAGTATATTTCATTTCTTGTTATTTTGTTCCAAAATCTGTTTATTTGGACCCACTGTTTTATATTGTATATTAATTCAGCCCCACGATTAGACTATACTATATACATACAAGTCGTAGGTATGTATATAATAGCACTTGAATTTAGTTGTTGGCAATTTGCGCTGCATATTTTTAGGTGTTAAGTTAAATCTAGGCGATAGCGATTACTTTGAAATGCCAAGTAGGCATTGTTTGAGAAACTCGTTATTCCAAATTTTTTACCTTCTGCACACAACTCGTTTGCTTATTTTACTCGTAAACGGTGCTTTTGTGTTTTACTCTTTCACTTTGTATTACCTTTTCTTCATCCACCAGCCATCC